TATAAGAAAAATGAGAAATGAACACAAAGTGAAGAAACTTTTTTTTTGTTCGTTGTATATTTGACTTTTTATGTCAAAACGTCGAAGTTTCTTTTGTTTCTTTTCTTTTCGTCGTAAGTCCGTCACCTATTGCTCTCGCGAAAACTGTCTGTAAGCGAACATTGATAACCAGAGTAAAACACAGGAAACTAACTACGACCAGGATGACCTCTCAAAATGGCAACAAAGCGTCTCCCAACGTTGAGTGCCTTTCTGGACGCAACCTACTTCAAGAAGGTGCGACCAGTGCCGTGGCTATTATGTGGGTTCTCTTTGTTATCCATTCACTGATTTCCGTATCCCAAGTTAGTTTATAGTGGACTCCCCATATAGGGTATATGGATTGCAGTTGAACGATGCGTCTAAGGTCTGCCGCAGGACGGGGTATTCAGCGATGTCACTATTCGCAACTTTCAGCGATGGTGGTACCGCGGTGAGAGAATCGCGTTCCCTAGCTCCTGGATGATTGGCTTTACAAGAAAGGCGCTTACCTACACCTTCGTGGCGGGAAAAAATAAAGTAAGGCTGCTTGTATAAAGCAAAACCATAATTAATTACGCGTCGCAGACCCCGCCTTTTACTGCTGTTCTACGACGATCATCCAAATGACAGCCATTTTGACAGGCACTAGCGCGCCCCATATATGTCGTTAAAGTTGCAAATACCTAAAGCGACCTTTTATTATTTATTTTTGTTTGCCACAGAAATGTTTTGTAAAATGTATCAGTGATATTGTGCTCCTTATGGCCGGACTGCATAAAATAGCCCTACGATGATTTTTTTTTTATTTGTTTTCCGTTTTGTGCTGTTTCGCGCTAATAAATCCTTCTGGCAAACCAGATTTGCGCAACTGTATAATTCTGTTCGTCACTGACGTCGATACAAATTACGCAATGCGGAAGTACCTTCAAAAGTAATTGAATTACATTTCTTAATATGTGTGCTCAACTCAAGATACTTTACAGTCAAAGTAACTCGAGTGATATTTTAAACACTTTATGAAGCAGGTATTTAGTAACTTAAATTCAATACTTTTATCGAGTATTTTTTCCAACGCTGGTTCAACCTTACAAGGTTTATCTAGGCGACAGGAAATATATGACGAGCCGGGGAAATATATGTTACCCCGATTCACAGATGGCGCGACAAATATTTACTACGAGCGCCCTCGGCGCTCCTAGCGGCTTTCTTGAAACACACTCCCCCCCCTGCCGCTTCGCTACGCTCTAAGCCACCAACCCCATCGCCTAGCCACGTCGCGACATGGCGCGGAACAAGCTCGTCTGCTCCTGCAAGAGGAAGTGGTCCTTGGCCGCAAAGCTCGACCAGGGAGCCAGAAATAAAAATAAACATCCCCAAACCAGATTGCATCGAGACTTCTCCATCTGTTGCGCAGCTGAGCAGCCGCCGCCGTTGTTGGCGCTCTTTGTTTATCTCTTTTGCTGGGAGCGGCTTTGATAACTCCCGCCTTGCGGCGGCCGAGGAATCTAGTTGGTCGCTCGAGCGCGATGCTGATGCGGCAGTCGACGCTGAGAGCCCGTCGCGCGTTTTACGCAACCAGCGCGCACAGACTCAGGAAACAAGATGCGAAGTTGGAGTTAATCCGTAGCCGCGCCTCTTATCGCCATCGAATTACGTGGACTTGTCGCAAAGCGTGGCAGCTTGAGGCGATAACGGTGTCAGCGGGCCAGGTCGGATCCCGGCAAGGTTGTTCGAGGCTGCACGGACCGCGAATCCGCCCTGCGCTGGGGATTAACCACAATCCAGGGCTGACTAGCGCCTGAGGAAATCTCGCTTTTGTGGGTAACCGCAAAAAAAAAAAAAAAAACACAAAAACAACAAAAAAAAAACAACATGTGATAACAAAGAAACAATGCGTCCGAATGTCCGCTTCGTAAATCGCATTTTAATTGTAAAAAAATAAAATAAACTATCATAAAAAAAACATTATGCTTTTTCTCTCTGCACTCTAAAAAAAAAAAAAAAAAAAACTATCACGTTACACCTCTTTGTTCCATATAATGCACCCCGAAACTTTAACCAGTAACACGTGCATTCACTATTTTAATAAGTTGTACCTCGTGGCTATCAAGCCTCTTGTGAAAGTTAGTACCGTCAGATCGACGTCAGTGCGCCATACGTCGAACTGAAGTTTTAGGGTGGATTATATGAGACAAAGGGTGTAAGAATACACCCTTTTTTTTACAGTGTGGTCAAGAAGCAACAGAAGCGGAGCTGTACTATGTGCAGCCATCTATGAGCGACGGCGGCACCTGTCCAGAGGGTGGTGTCGATATTTATTGGTCCAAGGACACGAAACTGGGGAAACTGGCACTAAACAACTACGCAAAAAAAAAAAAAGCCGAATAAACTAATATATATATATATATATCAGTGTGTCGAACCGAAAAAAATACGGGTTCGGTTACGGTTCAGGTTCAGGTGAATTTATTTTGTTCCGGTTCAGTTCCGGTTCGATTAATTCGATCCGCGAACCGGTTCGGGGCGCTGAACCGGTTCGCGAACCGGTTCGGAAATTATAAATGACAAATTGCAACATCAAAATAAATAACAAATAAAACAACTGAAATCAGCACATACGAAACGGGATACATCGTAGTGTAAGGCTCAGGGATTTCTACCAGGAATGGTTTCTTTATGTGCACTCAAAGGTTACCTCACCGACGTTTACGCATTCGGACTTCATCTAATTGGGTCCGACGCAGTAGCTGTAAAATCCGCGACCTCCTTACAAACCCACTTACAAGTAGAACTCGCTAACTATCCCGCCACCTCGGCGTGTAAGCAATTGAAGGAACAGTGGGGAGAAAATACAGCTTTCTTTATTTGAACTAGCCTTCGGTAACTCAAATTAGACCCTTAAAGAAGTTTTCATTAAACAAGATACGGAATATGAAAAACACTTCACCGAACACAACGCCAGAAGGACGTAATAGGATAAATATTAAAATAGAAGAGTTCGCTGTCTCACAAATATGTTAGCTTCTAAGTGCCTAGACGAAACCGGATGCATTATTACCAAACTCCACATCCTTTTCTTTTCTCATTCCGATGGAAGCAAGCTTCAAGAACTCGCGCGTTCTAGAAACGTGTTATGAAATGAGCACACAGTAGCATTTAGGATTTACGAGATTGTAGGAAAATGAAATCCCGTGACGCGATATTTTCTTTATTTTTTTTTTTTTTTGCACAGTCTTTCAATTCTTTTTCTTCCGTGCAAGCCGCGACCAGCGCAATACTGGTTCCTATGTCAAGATTCATGGATGCAGCGTTTGTCAAGATTCATGAATGCAGCGTTTATATTTCTAAGACTGAGTGGAGAAGAAAAATATGTAAGCGAGGTGTGTGTCAGTTGACGGCACTTAAAAAACAAATGGCATTGATAGCACATTCATTGTCAACAGCGCGTGGCCGAACCGTTTTGACATGAGCCGGTAACCGTTATTTTTTTTCCGGTTCAGTTCCGGTTCGGGTTCATCGCGATAACAATATAACGGTTCGGGTTCGGGTTCAGTTCCGGAAAAAATACCGGTTCGGTTCCGGTTTTCGGTTCGGTTCGACACCCTGATATATATATATATATATATATCTACCCCCGCCGCTGCTGTTTGAATCGACAGCCCCATGGTCATCGACGGCAAGCTACCTTCCTTCAAAAGCATCGTTCCAGGATCTTTCGACCAGTGGGCACGGCAAGCAAGCCACAGCTATGATGGCTAATGTTCCGCTTCTGTTTATCGTGCAGGTTAGTACGGAAAACCTTTCCTGCTCTATAAGAAGCAATAACCTTTGTCTTGTAGTTCTGCCGTGCCCACGGTATTGTCTTAAGCGCTTTCTAGACTTGTTATTGCTACTCTGTGGCGATGTTGAACGAAACCCTGGTCCCATGACTAAAGACGAGGCTCAGTCATTGGCGAAAATCGAGTCGATTGTCTCGCAATTATACGACGGCCAGGCAGGAATCGTGAGCCAATTAAGAGAAATCACCGAGGAACAAAAGCGCACGAATGACTCGATTTCCGCACTGACCGCTCGTGTCGTTATCATTGAAAGTGACCTCGCACTATGTAAATCCACTGTTAATACTACAAAAGAAATTGAGGCGAAAGTTGTGTCCGCTCTAACCGAAATCGCTCAACTTAAGCGGCAAACTGATGACGCTGAGAGCCGTTCGCGGCGATCTAACTTACTGTTCTTCGGCCTGAAGGACGCTGCGAGGGAAACATGGGCGGAGTCCGAAAGGCTGATTCTTGAAGTCTGTAACGAGAAACTTGGTATAAGGGTTGACCCAGAATTAATTGAGTGGGCCCATCGGATTGGGAGATTTAATCCTTCTATAAACAGGCCCATTGTTGTGAAGTTTTCTTTTTTTAAGCAGAAGGAGGCTGTTATAAGGTCGTGTTACAAACTAAAAGATACAGGTGTTTCGGTCAGTGAAGACTATGCTAAAAATGTACAATTCGCGAGGAAGAAGCTCTTGGAATTTGCCCGTGCTCAAGTTAGTCCTTTTAAACTCCAGTTCGACAAACTGGTTATTGGTGATAAGCAATTTCATTTTAATTATGCCACAAGCCATGTTTACGAAGCTGCCACATAACTAACTAGACGTAGTGGGAACAGACCTGCCTCGGAATTAGGGGAAGTTTTATCTGGTGAAGCACGTTGCTGCATCTCCTTTCCAAATAACTTTTCTGTTCTTTTCACTAACATAAGAAGCGTCATTCACAACCGAGACGATTTGTCATCAATTGTTGATGCGTCATCTAGTTATATTGTTGTTTTAACAGAAACTTGGCTTTCGAGCGGTGTTCGTGACAGCGAGATTTTTCATTGTTCCAAGGGGTATAGGTTTTTTAGGCATAATAGGAGTGATAGGCGGGGTGGCGGGGTTTTAATCGCAGTAAACGATAGCATGGAATGTTTTCATGTCGATATTGTTGTTTCAAAAAGGCGTGTTATCGAACGTAACTAGTTTAATGCTTGACAAAAGGTTACAACGTGGACGGTATCTGCGTCCGCCATGCTCGCCGGTTTCTTCGTCTCCTGGCCTAGAGGAAGGGGGAAGGCGCGTACGCCACCGCATGCCTTGGGTGGTGGCGCCATCTGTCGGCTCATCTTGTAACATCCTCCTTTGTTTAAGTAGGGACTACCCCACAATAAAGTCTTGAAACTTCTTTGGTAGAGCTGCTGTTCTCTTTGGGCGCGTAGGGGTATGGATTGGGGCGAATTGGTGGTCAGGCTCGTACGTCTCAGGTACTGGTGTCGTGTCTGGTTCGCGCTGAGGGGAACTTTTGACCTGGGGTGTTCTGTGGTGCCCACGATCGTCCTGAGTAGTAGTAGGGACATCTGCTTCAGCCTGTTGGCAACTGGGTACATCTCGTATGTGCACTCTGTTGCGGCGTAGCACGCCGTCACTGACCTGTACCTTATATGACCTGTCACCACATTGCTCCTTGATGGTTCCCTTTGTCCATAATGCTTCTTTGGTTGGAAGAACCATCACATCTTGTCCCATGCTCAGAGGATGGAGGTCTTTAGCCTGTTTGTCGTGATAGAAAACCATCCTTCGTTTCTTCTGCTCCAACTGGTTTCTGGCACTGACAGTTTTTGGCAGCAGCTGCTTAGTTGTCGTTGGTACACATGTGCGTGTGCGTCGACCCATGAGGAGCTGTGCAGGGCTTGCATGCATGTGTTGCAGCGGCGTGTTACGATGGTCGAGAAATGCCATCTGAGGATCGCCATTGCTTTCGTCTGCTTTCTTTAAGAGCATTTTGACAGTCTTCACGGCAGACTCAGCCATACCGTTCGATCTTGGGTATCGTGGGCTGGACGTGACATGTTCGAAATTCCAATCGATTGAGAATTTGTTGAACGCTTCACAAGCGAACTGTGAGCCGTTGTCTGTGATCAGAACACTTGGGATGCCGTGTCTTGCGAAGTGTGCTTTCAGTCTGCGTATCACATGGGCAGATGTTAACGAGTTGAGTTGGTCGACCTCCCAGAAGTTGCTGTAATAGTCCACTGTGACTAGGAAGTGCTTGTTCTTGTGCTCCAGTATGTCGCATCCAACACGTTCCCACGGAAAGTCTGGTCTCGGGTGTGGTTTCAGCGTCTCTCGTTGTTGCGCTGGTGCATGTTTCTGACACACATTACAGGCTGATATGTGGTCCTTGATTTCAGCATTCATGCTCGGCCAGAAAATACTGTCACGTGCACGTCGTAGAGTGCTTTCGATACCCATGTGTGATGAATGTAGCTTTTCTTTCATCTCTCCCCGAAGTGCTTTTGGTATCACCAGTCGTTGTCCCTTGTAAACAATGTCATCTTCCACGACAAGTTCGTCTCGGAAAGGGAAGTACATCCTGATTTCTGGTGCAACATTGTGCCTTTCCTGTGGCCATCCTGTTAGGATCACTGCTGTCAGCTTTTGCAAGGTTTCATCCCTCAGGGTTGCGTTGCGGATCTTCTCTGCAGTATCCTTTCGCACAGGTAGGTGGTTCACCACGTTGATGTCTTCAAGCTGCTGTTCGCAATGGTCGTCTGGCAAGAATGCTCGTGACATCGTATCGGCCAGTAGAAGTTCCTTTCCTGGTCGGTACTGCAGGTCAATGTTGTAGCGTTGAGTCTGTAGGATCATCCCTTGCAGTCTTCTTGGAACTTGGTCCAGCTGCTTCTTCATGATGGCTTGTAGTGGCTTATGCTCTGTGATTACAGTCGTCAGTCTTCCGAAAGTGTACTGGTGAAACTTGTTCAACGAAAAGACTATGGCAAGCATCTCCTTCTCTATCTGCGCATACCGGACTTCAGTAGGCGTGAGAGCTCTGCTCGCAAAGGATAATGGCTGTCCATCTTGAAGGAGTGCAGCTCCTAAGCCACGTTCACTGGCATCGCATTGTACCATCAGCGGTTTCTGCGGATTGTAATATGCCAACACTGGGGCTCTTGCTACCAAGTTCTTTGTCTCTTGAATTGCGTTGTCTTGTTCATCGCTCCATGCCCATGGTTCACTGTTGATGACCAGCTTTCTGAGCGGTTCTGTGACCTGGGAGAGCTTTGGCAGAAAGCGTGCAAGGTAATTGACCATTCCACAAAAGCGTTGCACACCTTGGACGTCAGTTGGTGGGGGCATTTCTTGAATGGCTCTGACCTTTTCAGGGTCAACACGTAGTCCGTCTTTTGTCAGCAGGTGCCCCAGAAATGTTGTACTTGTGCGATGCAGCTCCGTCTTGTCTCGGTTGAGTCGCACACCAATCTTCTGACATCTCTGCAGCAGGTTTTCCAGCTTCTTGTCATGGTCACTGCGCGCTTCTGCATCGGTTTCGCCGATACCATACACTAGAATGTCATCTGCCACACACAGCACACCACTCAGTCCATCCAGAGCTGACTGCAGTCTTTTCTGAAAGATTTCACTACTGACAGCAAGTCCAAATGGAAGGCGTAGCCATCGGTAGCGTCCCATTGGTGTCTGAAAGGTGGTGAGTACACTTGACTCTTCGTCCAAGATGCACTGCCAATAGCCGTCACACAGGTCCAGCTTCGAGAAGACCTTGGCTTTAGCAACTTCGGGCAGAATGTCGTCCAAGATTGGCAAGGGGTGTCGCTCTCGCTCCAAAACTTCATTAAGAGCTTGAGGATCAATGCAGATTCTCATATCACCATTTTTCTTCGTGGCAACAACCATTCGGCTCACCCACGGGGTTGGTTCGGTGACACTTTTGATGATTCCCCTTTGTTCTAGGTTTCTGATTGTCTTTTCTAGCTGCGGTTTAACACTCACTGGCACCCGACAGCCTGTCACCGCCTTTGGGCTTGCAGCAGGTTTAGTCACCAGGTGTACAAGTCCAGGTAATGAGCCTAAAGACTGTCCGAAGACGTCGGAGTGTCTTTCCATGATCTGTTCCAGTGCACCCTGTGCACCTGCAGCACTGATGCTGGCAACCAGACTGTAATTCACTGTGATCAGTCCCATCTGCTCGGCTGTCTTTCGTCCGATAAGGGGTCTGAGGTCATCACGCACCACGACAAAGTCAACAATGTGCTTGTGTCCATTAGCAGTGGTTACATTCAACCTCGCCTTGCCGTATGGCACTACCTTGGTACCATTCCACATTCTCAGCGTTGTAGACGTCGGCATTATCTGATCAGGCGACACATTTCTCTTAGTGATGACATTTACAGCAGCCCCGCTGTCAACCTGGAACCTTATTCCTTCTTGGTTCAGATTTAAAGTCGCAAACAGTGGACTTGGTTTGCCGCTTTGCACCATCAGTATTTCATCTGTGTCGTCTTCTGGCTCCAAACTGGCAACAGTCTTGCTGTTTTTACACACAACTGCAAAATGGTTCTGTTTTTTGCATTTGTTGCATGTTTTGTTCCATGCTGGACAAGCATTTCTAGCACGTGCATGATCGCTTCCACAGTACTTACAATGCTGTACTGCTTGATTCGAACTTGTCTTTTTATCTTTTGCTCGGTCAACAGGTGGTAGACGACGGCGTCTGTCTTTCACTGCATGAACTTCCTCAGTTGCTGGTCTGCCTTCCTTGAAGACTTTAAGTTGCAGCTTCGTTGACTCATGCGCTAGACATACCTTGACAACCTTTCCAAGCGACGGTTCATCAAGTTTTAGAATGTCCGCTCGCGCTTTCTCGTCATTCACTCCGCAGACAATCTGGTCTCGAATCATCTTCTCCTTTTCAGGTCCGAAGTTGCAGTCCCGAGTCTTCAATTTGAGATCGGTTAAAAACGTGTCGAACCTCTCGTCGGGGAGTTGTACTCGAGTGCGAAAGATGTAGCGTGAGTACACTTCGTTCTGCTTCGGCAGAAAGTGCGCATCCAGTAGCTTCACAACGTGGTCGAAGTCAAATTCAGGGTGCGGTCTCGCTTCCGTACACTCTCCGAAGTCCAGAGTATTGTAAATGTCTAGCAGGCTTGGTCCTCCAACCGTGAGAAGAAGTGCGACTTGCCTTTCCGATGATGCTCCAGCGGCATCGGTCGCTTTCAGGTACAGCGTGAAGGCTTGTTTGAACGTGCGCCATTGTTCCGCAGCGTTGCTGGCGTTTTCAAACTTCGGCGGCGGCGGGATCCTGTCCATGCTTGCTTCCGTGGTCGTGGCGGTCGTAGCTCAAGCGTTGGCTATTGCCGCTTCTGACACCATGTTTCAAAAAGGCGTGTTATCGAACGTAACTAGTTTAATGCTTGACAAAAGGTTACAACGTGGACGGTATCTGCGTCCGCCATGCTCGCCGGTTTCTTCGTCTCCTGGCGTAGAGGAAGGGGGAAGGCGCGTACGCCACCGCATGCCTTGGGTGGTGGCGCCATCTGTCGGCTCATCTTGTAACAATTGTCACCCCACTTGAACTTGTTTGTGTGCGTTTGCGATGCCTGCACAGATATATTATCATGTGTGTCTGCTACCGCCCCCCTAATGCCCCTGCAAATTTTACTTCTGATCTGTATGACGCGCTGAACGTTATCTCTTCTAGATTTCCTCGTGCCCCTTTGTTATTACTAGGCGATTTTAACCTTCCGCTAATTGATTGGTCCGGAGCGTTCCCGATTGCATCTGGGGGCTCTTCCGACTACACCGAGTTCTTGAACCTTTGTGCCAATTTTTCCTTTTCACAACTTGTCACCGAACCCACCCGAGTTACCAGTACAACGGCCAATATATTAGACCTTATTCTATCTACTGACCCAGACCTTGTCTCATCCATAACTTACTTACCGGGAATTAGCGATCACTCGATTTTGCACTTTTATTTGCAACTTCCAGCTTATTTTGAAAAGAAAACCACGAAACATTTTCTCGATTATGATAAAGCTAACTTCGATACCATTAATAGCGAACTAGCTGCTTTTCTCGATGAGTTCCTTTTTAATTTCTCACACCGCACAGTTGATGCCAATTGGAATATGTTTAAAACCAAAGTAAGCTCTTTAATTACCTCTTTTATCCCATGTAGGCCTATCATTTCTAACCACTTATCGCCCTGGTTCAACAGATCTGTTAAGCGTCTTTCTAATAAAAAGAAACGTCTTTTCCGGACTGCCAAGCTTACTGGACTTTCTGAACGATGGGAAGCTTATAGCGCAGCAGCTTGTTCCTATAAGACCGCTATCGCGGAGGCCAAGCGAACATTTTTTTCTGTAACCCTCCCCTCTATGCTAACTAACAGTCCTAAACAATTTTGGAATATGTATAGCGGGTCTAAAAATACAGTGCTTTCGCTGACATGTGATGATGGCGTGGTAGTTCCTAGTCAAAGTTGTGCTTCCGTTTTTAATGAATATTTTGTCAAAGAATTCGCTAGTGATGTTGTTCCTGTTTACCCTGGTACTTTCCCGAGATATGGTTTTTTTCAAATGGATCCACTTGCTTTTGACTATGACGGAATTATAAAACTTATTGATGATTTAAAACCATCTTCCTCCTGTGGCGTTGACAATATCACACCGAAATTTCTTAAGAGAACTAAAAATTACATTTCCATTTTTCTTTGCAAAATATTTCAAGAATCTGTTAACCTTGGCGTTTTACCAGACGACTGGAAAATTGGGAAGGTGATTCCGCTTCACAAATCAGGCAGTAAACATAACCCTTCCAATTATCGACCCATTTCCCTTATCAGTACTCCCTGCAAAATTTTAGAGCACGTAATTTACTCACATCTTGCTAACTTTCTTGATTCAAATTCTTTTTTTACTGCATCACAACACGGTTTTCGCAAATCACTGTCCTGCGAAACCCAGCTTATCACTTTCACTAATGACCTACTTTCCATCCTCGACCGTGGTTCCCAGGTTGATTGCGTCTTTCTAGATTGCTGTAAGGCATTCGGGAAAGTCTCTCACAAACTTTTACTTTTCAAGCTCAGTCACTTGCATGTTGATCCTAATATTTTGTCTTGGATTGAATGTTTTCTTACTAATCGTTCTCAGTTTGTGTATACTACCCTATAGGGTAGTATTCGGTGCTACTATAGTAGCACCGAATGTTGCCACAATGTTACTGGAATGTGGTCCGCCAACGTTGTGTATACGTGGCTAATGTCCGCAAAATGTCATGTCGCTGGAACGTTATCTGAAAACATTCCCGTAACATCACAGTAAACATTTGTGCTATGTTATGCCCTCAACATTTGTGCTATGTTATGCCCTCAACATTTGTGGTATGTTATGCCCTCAACATTAGTGGAACATAATTTATTAACATTGTTTATATATTTCCAATGACCACACAGCAAACATTTGTGGTATGTTTTGTCCTCAACATTCGTGTAACATTAACTTGGTGTCTCAAGTAGCAGCCAGGCTCTCTAAATCAACCACGAAATTTGGTTTCTTAACCTATTGCGCTAGGAGTTTTTGCAGCGTTGCCCACAGGCGGTGCATTTTTTTATTATAAAAATTGCAAAGAGCGAACTTACCTGAGGAAAAAGTAAAGAAAGAAAAAGGGTTAACTCCTTTGGAAATTCAGCGAAGGCACCAGTCTTCAAACAATAGGGCGCCCTATTTTTGAAGACCGTTGGCTTCGCTGCATTTCCATAGCAGTTAAGCCTTTTTCTTTCTTTATTTTTTCCTCAGTTAGTTCGCTCTTTGCAATTTTTATAGAAAAAAATACACCACCTGTGGGCAACGGTGCACAAAATCCTAGCGCGACAGGTTAAGAAACCGAATTTTGTGGTCGATTTAAAGAGACTGGCCACTATTTGAGACACCCAATATATTGCCAATTGACCACTACTTTTCTACATGAGCTACATTATAAAAAAATCAATTTACCCACAACAAGGACAGCTAAAAACGGACAAGCACATATACATAGCCGCAGTGTGCTAACTTCGTTTCTATCTTTCCTCGTCTCGGGCAAATTAGTCGCAGACTAGCTCTCTCAGCGATTTCACCCCACCTTCGCCTGTGTGAAAGTCGTTCATCAAATAGCACTGCTGCTGAACCGCTCTAAGAAGTTATTCACTTCACTTGAGAAAACGTGAATACTCTTTTCTGTAATCTGCTTTCAATCATGTTGATCTATCCCAGTTTTATTTCGAGGTAATAGCTTTTATAAAAAGCTCCACTTTTTTTAAAACTTTTTTCAGCCAATCAAAATGTTTAACTTTCAGATGTTTGTTACTCCAATGTTCTTGCACAAGAATTTTCTGAGCAGAGAAGTCACTAAAAAAGACATTTAGCCTAATTGTGAAGTAAACTTTGTGAGGGAAAAAAAATCTTTCTTACGTGACAGAGAAATAAAGAACTTCTGATGATCTTAAAGGACAAACATTGATTTTAATTCCCAAAATAATTAGCACTTATAAGTTATAACTTATAACCAACAAAGGCTAGACACATTTAGCTAATGAATGGGTATATTGAAGATAAAATGTTTGTCCCAAGTTGCCTTAATACCCAAGTTGACACCTTAGTAACTGTTGAGCACAGCACTTGTTGACAACATGTCGGTTACCAGAAATGTAGCCTGTAATATATATGCCTCACGGAACTCCAAAGCCAAATTTAGCAGCTATACTCCGTTTCACCTTCAGTTGAAGCGCAGCATACACTACGAGCCATCCCAGTCAATTTAGCGTCAAGTCTGATGCGACTTTGAGCTCTGCCTCCCGTTCCACACAACTGGAAAGTCATGTGATACTCTTCCGGCGCTGGATCAGCTGGGATGGCCCATACCGTTCACTATGCTTTAACTTAAAGTGAAACGGAGCATAGTGGAGACAGCACTGTAACTATTCAGACTCAATATTTCGAAATTAATTAGTGTTGATTTTCATTTCTTTTATATTAAACTTTTACAACCCACAAAAGTAAAAGGTTTCATGGATTACCAGTATCCCCAACCATTGGGCAATTGATTTGCATGATAACTTCTACAATTTTTTCTCCAATTGCAAGATTTTGAATTATTTTGGAGTGGATTATCTACTCTCTACAGCAGAAGACTGACTAATAGAACATGCATATCACAAGATGCATCACCCCCCCAGACAGTATAATTTCAGCAATATTTTCACTTTGTGACACAATTTAAAGCAGTCCTCCACTCTACTTTTCTCTCTCGCATCTGCTCGTGGCAAGCAGAGAAGGAAGCAGGGGTTGCTGGGAAAAGTATGCACATCCGTCTCCATCACTTCCTTCCAGCCAATAGGAAGTTACAAAAAGAAAGCTATCTCCTTGAAATAGCAACCACTTTTCAGGCAACCATGTAAAATCAGTCTTGCCAAAATGAGTCTTGCACCCTAAATAGTTATACTTTATTTTTTTTTTTTCAAGGAAAATGCATTTTATGACATGGGTGTCCTATCCATGTCATTCTAACTTGTTCTAACTTTTTTAGTGGCCCTCTAAGAGGCACCTGTCACTGACCATAAAGTAGGACGCTTAGAGGAATCCACAAGATTTGTTGAGATAGGGTTTATTTTCATAAATCTTCCAAGTTTTACATTGCACTCAGTAGAAGCTGTAAGCTCAGCCAACTTGATTAAAATAAACTGTGAGAAAACATCACGAAAAAGGTTGCAGCAACAGGACCAGACATATACTGCGGAAACATTTGCAGATTCACTAAGAAACATACTCAACTTCTCAAAAAGTATAATGAGTGGTAACAACCAAGCTTAAGTTAGCAGAAGAAACATGTAGTTTGAAAGTAACTTTGAGTTAAATAAAATTGACTAGATATATAAGCAAAGGTGTGTTACAAACGGATCATTCTTGCATCCGTAGGGCAACTGCAAGAGGAAAAACAAAAGTAATTACACAGACGAAAATTATAACAAAAATGTTTACATCCTATTCATAGGCAGTATCGACGTTTACCAGGAATAGGTGTGACAGCTACTCGCTTAGTTCTATATACACAGATATTAGATTGTGAAAATAGTGGTAAATAAGTTCAATAAAAAAAAAAACACTAGAGTAACCTGCCACTGATGTTACCATATCTGTTGCTGCTCAAAGTTATCATAAAACAAACATATGTCATATTAATGAACAGAGAAGGAAGAGGAACAGTTACATAAAACTAGAGGGCACACAGTCCCTTATCGCCATCTTGAGCGCAGTGTCACCCTTTCTCTACACCAAGTGTCATTATTAGCTGTAGATTACTCCTAGAAGTCAAAAACTTATGTTCGGAAACCTCAATGAGACAGGCAAATGTCCTGCTTGTCCTCTGTCAATAACATAAACGTCATAATTATTGTGATCAATAAATTACATGGGTCCCCACCCCCTAACCTAAAAAAAGCTGTGCACATGGCAGGCTTCATGTTGCTTGGTAATGACATTAACGAGATAAACACTCACTTTTCTCAGTA